ATCGAATTTAGAATTCAATTAAAAGCAACACCTAAAAGTATAATGATTCTGAAGCCATCAGTTCTACCGGTAGATGTTTTTACCTTGTACATGTAGGCTGGTGTCCCCCCCCCCCACTCTTTAGGTAAACCACTGAACCTACCGGTATTATTATTAAAAGTTGTTGGTGAACAAGTAACCAATATAGTCAAGTGCTCAAATACTGTGTATTTAAACTTTAAAGGATTGAGGTGATGGGTTTGAAGTTCATTTCTGTAGTTGTCTTGTGTTCGTGAATGATGTGATTTTGGTTGTTTTCATTTTTCTTTTGTTATCATTAATTAGCAGGCTTCTATCTTTATCTCAATAGTTTTTTGGGTATAATTATTTATGCCAGGTCTGCATATTGTTGATTTCACATTCATTTACACATTTCAGCAATTTGTTTCACTTGTATAATTAGTGTAAATTCACATTTTGTTCATGCTATAATTGAGTAAACCTTTTGTCCTTCCGTTACCGTCCTTCCGTTACCAAATTATAATCCACTTAAAACATTGTAATTATATTACCGAAACACTTAAAGTCAAATGAAAGGTGGTATAGTATAGATAAAGCTTCAGGGATTCCATTTCCTACCTTTAAAATATAATTGCCCCATAAAATTCACAGAGTTTACGCAAAACGCAAGTAAGTTGGAAAACCCTTGTCCGTTTTACCGTCCTTCCGTTACCGACCTCATTAATATTCATAATTCATAAACGGGAGGCATTCATGCCCCCCAAAAGTGTGGAAATTGAAGGTAGCATTATAGCAATACAATGGTGACATTTGTTTGCTGTAACTATGAACAGTGTCTGTGATACACACATTTGAAATTTTGTTTAATGAGTGAAAACGTCCTTCCGTTACCGTGGAATTGCCCAGAGTCAAAATCACTCAATGGAAGTGTGACATTTGGGGTTGACACCGTGTCAATGTTACGTCCACAACCAAGCTAACATTTCTGCTCCATTTGATACCTGACTACCATAACAAAAGCTTTTCTTATTGTGTTGCATGTATAGTAAGAAGTACGTAAAGAGAATTTGGGTAATGTTTCACAGAAATTTAACCGAAAAAAGTTTTGTCCGAAATGACATTTTTGCTCATATTTTTGGCAAAATACATTGAAATGATTTCAAACTTTCTGCAGTAGTAAAACACCCAACAACAAATATTATGTAGAGCAACTGCTAGCAAGGCATTCATGCTTTTCTTTTAATATGGTCATATTACACACATTGTTCCCCAACCCGGTGGAATGACCCATATCCACTCTCCCCCTCTACAAAACATATTCCAAACTGGTTGAACCACAGAACAGATATCAATTTTACTGGGGAAACCCTGCACAACATCATGCTTAAAAGTCTCAATATTGCCAGTGTAAGTTAAGGAAGGGAAGTCACAGCTTTCTATAAGAACATCTTAGCACAAAGTATACTAACCCTAACCTTCCTAACCCCATCAAAATCCATCCTCCATTTGGGGGGATTTTGGTAGGCAAGCCAGCCAACCAAGTTCATCAAAATCCACCTATAGCAGTGGTGGATTTGTGGTGGATTTCGGCGGATTTGGTCCTGTAAGCATTACGTGAAGCAGAGTCAGTGATGGATTTTGGCAGACTTGGTACTGTTCTTCGTAAAACTCAGTAGGGAGTTGGGGTTAATACTGTTAATGACACAAGCAAACTTTTCTTGAAAATCAAGTTTGAAAATTTGACATTTTTGACATATGACTCTGACATACATGTATGCTCTACTGCAAAAACCACCTACCTACATGTATCTTCTTCAGGTTCTCCAGAAATTAATCCTCACAATAAAATTTAAAAAAAAAGAGTCACACAAAATGTAGCAGTTCCACCTACCGGTCCTGTGCATGTACAACAACTGCTAACATGACTCAAAGGCTGTCCTTAAATACGCTATCAACACTTCTTCTGATGTTCAAGAAGCTTACATACAAGTAATTGAAGTATCAACCAATAAGCAGATTTATGAAAAGAAAGCCCTACTTAAATTAAAGAGCTTTTTCTTTGGTAATTGGATTTCTAAATCATTGGCACATGCACAGTCTTTGGATTTTCTGTCTTAATTTCTAAGCATCAGGGTAGGCAATGGGTTTATCTTGTAAGACGATACAGCCAACTTATAATGTTGATGGTACATACATGCACATTAAATGGGTCATTCTATAAATTTGAGGTCCACTTTTGTCCTGTCCCTGTTAAACCTGACATCGATGATTTTGTAATTCTGGATGCCCTATTTCAAGCTATAGTCCATCATTTGCAGCCATCCGAAAAGGAACTGACGTATTATTGTTGAAAAACATACTTGGTTGAAAGATAGTAAGTGGACTAAACTCCCTGTGAAATTAATCTTTCTGGCAAGCTATCATTTTGAAGTAATCAACCAAAGAAGGCCTTTCCAACAGTGCGTCTTAAGGCGCACCGTAGGAAAATTTAAATTAGTAGTTTGTTTTGTTATTCGGCGAAGCGGGCGCAAGCATTGGCACGACGCACACGCACCCCCGGTTGCTATAATTCGTCAGATCAGTGCGCGACATCGGGTAGCTGCATTCGGCTCGGCGAGAACGTGTCTCGGACGCTGAATTCAGGCCCAATTCAAAACATGATTCAGCAACTTTTGATTTGAAATTGAGATCCTAGAATGCTGTTTTTCTCGGAATATACAGCTGAAGCTGAGCTGAAACTTCATCAGGTTAGTTGTTCAGTACCCTTCTTTAGATTTTGAGCACTTTTGTTGCTTCAAATGAACAAAATGCACAAATTACAAATGATGGACTTCATCTTTAATGTATTCTTCCTCCAAGAGTGATTTTGTGAAACAAACGTTTTCTGCAGTAGCCTATATATAAATTACCCACTGACAGTGTACTCAACCACTGACTAAAGATGTTTCGCTATATCACCAAAGCTGCCTGCTTTCTATTCAAAACCTTCAGTATCATCTTGAAAACAAAACACTTTAAGAATCTCAACTTAGAACCTTTAACCCTAACTCCTTAGTGTCTTTTATTAGGAACTGGACCAAGTCCATCAAAATCCATCAATCACTGTGCGTCCAATACAAAACTGTACATGACATACATGTATGGAATTCACCACTGATTGACACAGTCATGGACTTGCTACACATGGCTTTTATCACAATAGCAGTACAGGAAGCTAGAGGCAAAATCAATTGGATACCCCTAGCACTGCTTCAGGCCATTAGGCCCAAGTCCATCATACTCCATCAATTTTTAGTCACGCCAGGCCTTCTGGACCAAGTCCCCAAAATCCATCAAAATGGGGAGGGGGGGGGTGGATTTTGATGGAATTGGAATGGTTAGGGTTAATCTATTGTAAACTGTTTTGGTTGTAGGTTTTAAAAAAATGTGAAAAGAGCAAAGAGTAAAATTGAGTCTCTTCAGGGTGATTATTAAATATCCACACTTGTACGCCAGTATGTAACTTTTCTCAATGGGTCAACATACAGTATCCAAATCACAATGCGCAGTGCTGCCATACATAAACTAAGGTCGTGTTCATTTTTCTTAATTTGAAGCAACAAACTTGATTGCAATCTAAAGTAGGGTGTATAACAACTAAACTGTTGGATTTTCAGCCCAGTGCATACTACACATTGTGAGAAAAACAGATAAAAACTTATGCACAACTTTTTGGGTCTCGTAACCGGATTCTGTTGCTAACGTAAAATAACATAAAAAGTGTGCCTGCGGACAAACTGTTTTGAAACCACCTCAAAAATTTGATTTTTTCCAAGTGACACCATCTCAGGCGGAATAATTTCACAGGGTGTTTGATACCAGTCCTATCTTTACTTTGAGCATGGTTTTTGTCATTAAATCGGTAGGTACTTTTCCTTTGCAAATGATCATACATGTACATGGCTTTAACCCTGACTTAACCAAACACCTTAAAGGAAATACTTTGAATCTGCCAAAATCTAACAGTGTGCACGGTTCGTGTATTCATACATGTGTAATAGGGTAGATTGTGAGATAACTTTGATACGATATCAACACTCTTTTACCTGTTCTATTTAACCTAATCCTCTTGAACGATTTACTAGGAACCTTCCTCACTCTTGCAAAATCCAGCACCATATGGTAAACTCAACACCCAAATTGTTGGAGATTCTGATTATGGTGGTTACACTTGACCCCATGTAAAGCATATTCAGTTTACTGGTGCAGTCCTCCCTCCAACAGATTCCAACAAAACATGCGGTTGGATTTTAAAGGGTCGGGGTGGATAGGGTTAAAGATAACGGATATGTCCAAATGCCTAAATACCTACAAATTGAGATTGAAGTTGCCAGGGCTACTTTTAAAACTACAGTCCATCATTTGCAGACGTAATTATTGTTGAAAACATAATTGGTTGAAAGATAGTAAGGGAACTAAACTCCCTGTGAAAATATTCTTTCTGGCAAGCTGTCATTTTGAAGTAATCAATGAAAGAAGGCCTTTCCAACAGTGCGTCTTAAGATGCACCGTCGGAAATTTCTGTTAGCAGTTTGTTTTTTTATTCGGCGAAGAACGAACAAGCGTTGACACGACGAACACGCAAATCGACGTCCTAGATCGTTGTTTTTCTTGAAATATATATACAGGTTAGTTGTTCAGCACCCTTCTTTACATTTTGAGCACTTTTGTTGCTTCAAACGAACAAAATGCACCAATTACAAATGATGGACTGTACATTTAAAACAAATGTTGTAGAATAGAAATCATTAGAACTCAATCAAGCTTAATATGTATGGGGTGCAATGAAAAAAGCAGACAGTATCGTTTATTTTGGAGAAACCCCCTCTGCTTTACGATGCAAGAAAGCCAAAATCCGCCAACGCCTCACAACCAGTTATTTGCACTTTTTCCCCTCAAACCATGTTGTATTTGTATACAACACAAACATGAAAAGATCCTGGAGCCGAGTGGGTTCTTACCGTGTTAATCTCTTCATCTTCCGTCCCATCTTCCGATACATCCACCCTGGTTTCCGGCGACAAGTCCGAGTCCACGCTACTCTGCCTCGAGTGGCTTTTGAGTTCACTAACCTCGTCCTCTCTCATTGCTTCTGAGTCTGTCTCCTTTTGAGAGCCGTTCTCGGCCTCTCCGAGTTTATCGTTACTCGCATCGTCACCTTCGGACGAGTGTCTACTACCCGATGACGACCGGCGACTGGCCGATTTTTTGGGACTCTGATTGACCGGGGTGGTGCTCCCTGTGTCACTCGTGGGCGTGGAGCCCCCCGTTCCGTTAACAGTCACCGTGCCGTCCACCCCGTCGTCGACCCGGGGGACTTTTGTGGGCTTCTCCCGGGCGCTGAGAGCTTCTTGCTGGAACACCTCGGCGCTGAGCGCCGTGTCCGTGCTGGACTTGCCCACCACGTAGGTGCTCTTCTTGGCCGTGTCGCCGATGCGCTGGAGCTCCATCTGCTGGCCCGTGAAGTGGGCCCGGATCTGGAAGAGGTAGGTCATGACGGCTAGCTTGTCCGGGACGGCCAGCAGGACCATGTCCTTGGGATCTAGGAGCTTGGGGATTCCCATGGAGGCAGCGGCCTCGAAAGCCTGCAGGCAAAAACCAGAAAACATCAGTCAATGAGATTTACTGGAAAATTCAAGACTGTTCAAATTCAAACTATCACGATGCAATCAAAAGTAGACAGATCAATGCCCGATTCTTGGCAGTGATTTCAACTGTTACAGTACAGCGGAACTTTTAATATTAGGTCTTGCCTTTCATAGATACAATTTTAAGTATAAAGGAGAATTTTTTTCTTAATTAAAGTGACATTCAAATATCATCTCACGACTGAAGCAAATTTGACACAAGCTCTACACTGACACTGTGCTTTTCTAATCAAAACCACGGTTGGTCTTCCCTCAATTTTTGGAATCAAAACATGGAGTCCCATACCTTTAAGTTGTTTTCCTTGATGTCATGCGGGGACAGAGACGAAAAATCTCTACAGAGAGCAGCAGAGACAAAAAAGACAAACTAGAAGTCACTGAAAAATTCATGATAAAACAAGTTTATTTATATTAACCCTCCTACCGTCTGAACAGTCACAGACAGTCAAAATATCAATCCTCTTCCCCTGCCATGCCTTTTACACAGGCTAGTCACCAACAGTCAGATCATATTTCAAGCAAGCACTGTGATTAGTCATATTCAGTCAAGTGACAAAAGTAGGCAAGTGATAGGCACAGCTGGCTTATCAATCACCTACAGTCAAAGCTTGGCTGTACCAAGTTACATAAACAGTCACAGCCAATCAATCCTGCTTTTTGTAGGCTGGGAGCTCTTAACTGTTGACAACAGTCACTTGACTGATTTTGACCGATAGGACAACTTAGCACAGAACGTATGTTTGCATAGGAGGGTTAATGATTTAAGAAGTCTCACAGCCATACATGCAAATCTTCTCCTATTCTGACTGGTCACCATATTGCCAAGAAATGGATTTGCATTGCGTTCTTGACAATTTCATTTTGAATGTGTAGTACCTTTATTTAAAGGTGAATGTGAATTTTGGGGTCAATTCATATTCATCCCGAATACTTCTCCCCTCATTTTAGGTGTAATAATAGAGGTTTGACGGTTGTAAGTGTCCCTTAACACCTTGAAAAATCATTTGTTTTCTTGATCTGACATTGTAGGGTTCCACTTCAGTCCAGTACCCCAGATGTAGTACAGTGGAACGCCGCTATACCGAACACCGCTATACCGAACATTCGGCTATACCGAACATCGTCCTTGGCTCCCAAGTTTTGTGTACAAAACGTACCGAACATTGTTGTTGGAAATGTCAACAGAAGAGCGACAAATGGCTATTATTAAAAACTGTGTAATTACATTATTCAATAACCGCACGTGTTCGAAGTCGTCTTTCAGTAACTACCCAGGGCGTATTTGGTGAATTTCTGCTACGGAATTGAAAATATTAATGGACAAGTTTGGCGACTCCGCCTGTGGTTTGTAAATGCAACTACACAATAACAATGATAAAAAGAGGGCGCCAAAAATGTGTGAAAATCGCTATACCGAACGATCGCTATTACGAACAATTTCTGTGGATCCCACGATGTTCGTTATAGCGATGTTCCACTGTACTCCAAAATTAAATCTTAAATTTTCCATACAGCAAAGACATCAGACTATTCCGCACAGAAAATGATAATAACCCAGACTTTTGGATACGTGTGAATGATCCACAACCAGGGTAAGATAGCAGCTAGTGCATAATAGGCAATAACAAAATTAACACATAAGCCCTTTGCACACTAGACAAATCTCGGGGTTGACGCAGGGTTGAAGAATTTCAACCCTGTTAACCCTGCGTCAACCCCCAGATTGATTTCGCCCCGGGTTGAACTCAACCCTGCTCCAGACCTGGGTCGAGATTTTCAACCGGGTTGAAATTCTTGCCAGGGTTCAAAACGGTAGTAACTGAGCATGATAAGCTTGATTTGCATGAAACAAGTGTGAAACGATGCAGGGTTGAACGCGGGGTTGAAAATCAAAAACTCAACCCAGGGCGGCACTGGGTTCTCCCAGGGTTGAGTTCAACCCAGGTTGAGAGGCTCTAGTGTGAAAAGGGCTAAAGAATAACATAGAAACTATGAGAGTACAGGCAAGATTGCGCTGCTCTCGAGCTGCTGCAGAAAACTGGTCCCATGGCCCGACGGAGAGGGGTAATAATCGTACAGCACTAAAAGAATACCTACAGGAGATCGGACCGGAACTTGTGGATGATGGCGCAAAACGCCAAGCCGTTCCGCCAGGACGTTGTCAGGTTGGTGACCCGGACTCCCTGGTAGCCTTTTGTGTTCTCTTTACACCACTCCAGGAGCTCCTGACTGGGCGTGTTCTTGTTGGTTTTCTTTGGGCTTAGCTGTAGAGACAAAAAATCCCACCAGAGTAAGCTTGAGATTTTTTTTCTTCACGAGCTATCAGTGTCAAAAAGTGTGTACAGTGTCAAAAATTACAGCGAACCAAATACAGGGTGTATCAACAACAAAAAAGGAAACCCAAATGTAAATTATAAATAATTTAATAAATTTTTCAAATAAGTTGAAGGTTATGTGAAACCAACACCTGTGAAGGCGATTCAATATTGTTCATTGTAAGTTACTTCCTTTCTCTTGGTCTGGGCTCAATGAGCATGCCTGTCTGGGGCCCAAGCTTAAAAGCTCTGCTTCTTAATGGGCCCTCTGCAGTGTCTTGAAAATATCACTTTTGTTGTATTACTTGTAATTATTTTCTGTTATGTATTGATTTGATGCTGTGGAAAAATAAATGAACCTTGAAAAATGAACCTTGAAAAATGAGCCTTGGAACACCAATAAGTTAATTTATGTTCCTCACCACGTTGGGGTTAACCGTCTTTACGACGGGGGTCTGTCGACTGGTCTCCTGCTCTTCCCTCACCACCCCTTCGCTTTTCACCGGTGCACCGACTTTCTTGAACTCCAAGGCATTGGTGCGGCTGGTGTCGCCATCCGCTCGCATCTGGTTGCTACCCACGGCTTGGCTTTGGAACAGCTGGGCAAGGGCATTCGGGCTGGCGGAGGGCGGTGCCGGGGCTTTCCGTTTCCTGTAACGGTGGCCTTCCGTCGGGGAATTCCTACAGATGGATGATTAAAACGTGAATGTAATACTTCATTTAATCACATTGAAGGACATTAACTTGCTACAGACAAATCCGGAAGCAGCCATTTTCTGCGGTGGCGCAAGGCTCGCGCGAGTTGTGTTCAGGTAATACACATGCACTCCGCGCTCCTTCAACCAATAGGAATACCAATACCGTCTTTAAGAACGTGTGCAGCATGCGCGTGAGCGTGACACCATCGCAGTAAAAACTTCTAATTCTGGTTGCCGGTTTCCACTGTTGCGTGGCACTTAAGTTCCGATGCAAGATTCCTCCTTCTGAATAGAATGAAAAGTCTGTTGTTTGTTCAAAATACTTTTAAAAAATCACAGTAATTTCATTTTACAACTGCAGTTTTAAGCAAACCTTACAGGGTTTACATGTGACCCTCCAGCACCAAACCATTGTTGCACGGCCGTATTTTGAGATACAGTCTATAATACACTGTACAGACAAAAATGAGCACCATTCAGATTAAGTGGTTGGAAGCAATAATAATAAATATCTTTCACATTCAATCAAATTAATTGGATTTTAAAGGAATCCTTGATTCTTTGTGAAATGCACGTGTAACTTTAAGGGCATTTCAAGTAATCATAAAGTCACTTTTTTGTATAAGGCCCCCAAAAAAGTCTCCGGTTTCTGGTATGGAGCTTGCCCCCAAAGTGGTGCAACGACACAGGTTTTTTTTTCCTCCTTCTTATTTCTTCTTCAAATGTCGGACTATTTGCAGATGACGTTTTGATCCCCTTAAAACTCTCAAAAATATCCTTCAGGGTGGAGCTTGAGGTGACCTCAGTAAGACCATAAGGCTTGAGAATTCTGCACCCACCTGCGATCTCGACCGACACGAATATTCTTCGGGAAATTTGGCAAGTCAAGAGAAAAATCAAAGAAAACAGTAACGTCAGACGTCAGTGACATCGACATCGTGCATGTGCTGCCAGGCTGGTCATTAGTCTTCTCCGTTACATATTGCGCTAATTAAAAAGCATTTACAGCTTCCAGATACACGACCATCGCTCTCTCAGTCTGGCATCCAGACGCACAATTACAAAATTACAACACCGTCTGCAATTGGTGCCCGACTAAATTTACTGCAAAATATATGGGAGCCCAAAGAGGCCAAATAAAGCTTATACTCGATCGTAACCCTATCTAAAAACACGTTAAAATTGTGCAACAGCAGCAGGATTCCAGTCCAGTGAGTTTGGCAGTTTTGAGACTTCATCTTACACTGAAATTTGACTAATTTTGCAGACGTGCATGACTACGGCGATGCGGGCACAGACCAGACACTGGGGACTTTTTTTTGCCTAATGCAGGTTTTGTTTAAAAGGATGTAGAGTTTTTTCATTTAAACATTATTTTTACCGGTATGTGTAAACATGACATCCTGAGTGACAATCGTTCTTTTTCTGAATGGCTCCAGAGTCAATGGAAAATCAACACGTGAAGTTGGCAGGTTTGCGACTCAAATCTAAGACCTGAGTCACTCCTAATAGTACTTTTGGTTTGTACACCATACTGAAACAGGGTGTTACTCACTCATCGGAGTCTCCCTGTTCTCCAAGCGCCTCATCAAACATGACGTTGTTCTCCTCAGGCACGCTTGGTGGGATGACGCTGCCCTGGGCGCTCACGGGCTCCTTGGCGTTGAAGCTAGGACCTCTGGACTGACCGCTGGTCAGATTCAGGTCCGGGTCCGGGTCAGCCTCGTCAAAGGGGTTGGCTGCGTCGCTGGAGAAGGAAACATCACTATGACTGTGCCGCTGGCTGCCGCCGCACTTCTTGAAAGGGTCTGCAGGTCACAAATAAACCAACAAAAAAGTGTAGTCAAGTTAACTCTGTCATGAGCCAATATGGCCCATCAGGCCGGCGTTTATCCTCTGCATTGGATATTGCAAGCAAAAGTTGTCAAGGATGTATCTGACCTCACATTGCTCCCCAGCTGGTACTCATTTATACTCCAAGGTGGAGAGAGGGTGTCGGAGGATTTTCGAGGTTTGAGGCAAGTACATCGCATCCACTATTCCAGTTAAGGAACGAAAAAGTAAAGTCTATCACGAGCCAATATTGTCCCTAATCGGTTCACACTTGAAGAATTTCAACCCTGCATCAACCCTGAGATTGATTTCTCCCCGGGTTGAACTCAACCCTGCTCCAGACCAGGGTTGAGATTTTCAACCCGGGTTGAAATTCTTGCCAAGGTCCAAAATAGTAGTAACTGAGCATGATAAGCTTGATTTGCATGAAACAAGTGTGAAACGATGCAGGGTGAACGCGGGGTTGAAAAATAAAAAACTCAACCCGGGGCGGCACTGGGTTCGCCCAGGGTTGAGTTCAACCCGGGTTGAGAGGCTCTAATGTGAAAAGGGCTGACGTTTTAAAGGGCTGGTTTCCTTGGCATGATTCAACTGAGAACATTTCCATTTCCCCTACATGGGATGCTAGTCCATCGCAGGTTACTCCCCAGCTAATACTGGTATCCATTTATATTCCTAGATGGAGGGAGGCAAGTGGGGGTGAAGTGGCTTGCCCAAGGACACAACATATGTGAAGATTCTGACAAAATGAGACAGAACTAGGCAGAGGTCGAAATAATGGTTCAGCAAGTATTTGGGAAAAGAATCAAATTCTCCTTACAAAGCTATTTGTTGCACTTGAATCGGACATACCGTTGACAACTTATGGCTGTTTTAAGTTCGCATTTATCGACTTGTCAAAAAAGTAAAACACTGAGAATAAGGCCTAAAAAGTTTTGAGATTCAAATTAACGAAAATGAAAGATGCCAATGTTTTTCATTTTATAAAACTCTTTTATTCCATGATTCTTATATCATTTCTTCAAAATGTGTGTAGTGGAAATATCAAAGATTACAAATGTCATTAAATAAAAAAGAAATGAAAAAACAAAACCCAATTGCATTTTCCCCCGCTTCGGCCTGTGCCCACTTTCGCCTCATATTGCCAGAACCCCTCACATATGGCCAGCAGCAGGATTCAAACCCCTGGCCCTCTGATCATGAGCCATGAACCCCAACCGCTAGTCCACACTCCCCCACATTGGCCAGTTAGTAAGGGTGTAACATTTGCAGAAATCTTTGCAGAAATTAATCTTATGATTAAACAGAATTAAAGAAGACAAAAGTACATTTCTCATTATTAAGTTGCATGTCAGATTTGAGCCCCGCTGAGCTTGCAGCAAATCTCGCTGTTGAACGGATTGCACAGCTCATGTTTGGACATACATGTAACAGTTCCCCCGTCCCCCCCCCCAAAAAAAACCCCCAAAACCAAAGGTCTTTCCCTTTCACTTGGTTGAACAGATTAGTGTATTGATTGGAAGCCTGTAGTTTGCACTGTTACTACATCAGCGAAAGAAAAAAACTAGGGGATCAAAATCTTAATGCTCCAAATCCGAAAGTAGCCAATTGGGTAACTGCGGTTGGCCCATCTAAAGGAGGTACGTGTTGGAGCTTAGTAGCCCGTCAGCGCAGAAATGGGACACGGGCAAGGGGGGGGGGGGGGAGATAGGAGCAAGGGGGTGTAGGCAATTGTCCCTTGGCTTCCACACATGGCATGGAAACTTTTTTTTTTGGGGGGGGGGGGGGTGACGCTCCGGCAGAAGGGATTTATCTAAGGATAGGGGGACAAAAGAGACTTCTCCAGTCAAGAAACAAAGCTAGAATCCGTCCTCCCTGTCGCCATTGTGGCACTGGATGTTCGCCTTGTTAAGTTGGCTGGGATGAATGCCACTCCTTTGTGCGCTCAGCCCGAAAATCTCCAGAAAATCCCAGCGATAATAAGGGAAGAGCCTGGGGAGCATTACATAAGCCCCCCTCGGCAAAAAAAACCCCCAAAAACCTGTTCTCTTTCTCTCCTCTTCTTTATATTCATTTGATGGATGAAAGTGCCTGGAGAGATGTTCTCCTTCTTGTCTTTGAGCACTTCTATGGTTTTTGAAAAGGCACACTCGGTAATTGCGACAGAAGTAGGCATTAACAAGGAGTGGAAAAAAAAGAAACGAAAGAAAGAAACTTGAGGTGGATCAGGAGTTTGGGGCCGAACACTAGTGGTGAGAATTAATTAGAAATCAAAAAAACGAAAACCCTCAATGGCCACTAATCATTACGTCCTTCAAAACGCCGACTAATTTGTAGTAGATTTCAAACCAAAATGACACTTTCTTTTATATTCTTCCAGCTGCATAGCGTAGGTTACTGTTGCCAGCAGCCAACCCATTCGCATTACTCAAGGCCCTAATGATTAGCTCACTTCGTCCTTAGCTGAACAAAACTCTTTCATGGTTTTCTGCATTCTGAACAAAATGATCCAATCTATACATTAGAAAATGACAACATTTTCAGACTATTGGTTTTGAAAATAATCAGCCTTCTTTATCTTTACAAGTATACATTTGATTGTTGAATGGTTTTCTTGGATAAAATCAATCTTTACAAGTATAAATTTGATTTTTGAATGGTTTTCTTGGATAAAAGCAATCATTCAAAGAAAGCTTTGGTCAGCCTAAAAAAAGCCAACATTTACTGGACAGACTGATAACAGTTTATTCCAAGTTGATAGCATTTCATCGAAATGTTAACCCTTCTGCTGTCTGAACAGTCACAGACAGTCAGAAAATCAATCTTCTTCCACTGCCATGCCTTTTACACCTAGGTTAGTCACCAACAGTCTGATCATATTTCACGCAAGAACTCTGACTAGTCAAATTCAGTCAACAGACAAGCAGGCTAGTGGTAGGCACAGCTGGCTCATCAATAACCTACAGTCAAAGCAAAGCTGTACCAAGTTACATAAACAGTCACAGCCAGTCAATCCTGCTTTATGTAGGCAGGGAGCTTGTAACTGTTCAAAACAGTCACTTGGTTGATTTTGACTGAAAGGACAACTTTGTACAGAATGTGTGTTTGCATAGGAGGGTTATTAACATATGAATCCCCACAAGGGTAAACTGAAACATACTGTCCACAAAACATATTTTAAACAACTAACACTAAGGCCAAAAAAAAAAATAAGTCGGTCTCTGGTCAGCGCGCACGTCGTTTTAATCAGGCGCGTCAATCTTTTTTTTCCCCAAAATGTTCCGCGGTAGCTCCAACAGCGCCCTCTATTGCCGCACCTCCTCAATTTTTTTTTACCAAAGAGCACCAAGGAATGGGAAATTGCACCAAGGCAAATGATCGAGAGCACCAAGGCAAATTATGGAGGACACCAATGTACATGAGGACACAAAAAAAGCAAAATAGTACCCCACCTTGTCTGTACAATCCAAGCTTGAAGAAAAAGAAAAAAAAGGGGAAAAAAGAAAGAAACAGCCGCATCCTCGCGTCAATTCCGGAACTTTGGTCTGACCAGAGACCGTATATCTATTTTTTTTTGGCCTAACAGTACACTAACAGTCCACTATGGGAGTAGAGGTGACCACTGCTATCAAAATGGATAGACAGACCAAACGACAGACCAACACAGACATAAACAGATGGACACAGACAAAAAAAGACATACAGACACCTGGATTACTTTGCAAAAGGTCTTAAAAGTGCACTTACATGTACTGCTCTTACTAAAAAAAAAGCATCAGACGTTTTATCGATTATGCTTTGTTGATAATACTAAATCTGAATGAGAATGTGAGGAATTTACTAATCAGTGTTAGCTGCTTATTCTGCTTTGAATAAAGATCCAAAACGCTGCTACATTTTTTGTGGGGGGGGGCCAAGTGACTGTCATTTTCAGGTTTGACAATTTAACAGAAATCTGAAGGGTTCTCTGAAGATCGATCACTCTGAATTAACTCAATCAGCTGTGTCAACAAGCTGCTATGATTACAGCACACCAGATGGTACATGTCTCATGATTGGTCAGGCCTCTTTACTTTATTGTCCAATCAGATCACTTCGTTAGTATGGGGGGGGGTTCAGATTCTCCCATTTGTCCATCTCAAGTTATGATGTCAAGCTTCAGGAATGTGGTTTTCGATAAGTTCTTCCTTTTGTCTACCTCAAGGTATGATGTCAGGCGTCAGGAATGTGGTTTTTCCCGTAAGCCGGGCTTAAGGTAAGGGCTTTACACTGCTTAAGACACGCAAGCTCTTTTCATGCGGTTTTTGTGCCGTTAGAAGATTATAAATATCAACATTGAAAGCCACCTCAATCAATACTGAATCTATTGATATATCTGAGACAATGCATATCACAGAGATCTCATTGTGAATTTATTTTAGTTTTAGGAGGAATGACATAACCCTCTGCTCAAGATGCAGCTTTCTAAAAGATTTTTAAAGATTTGTACGAACTCGTTCAACTGGGAGTATTATAGTTAGGCTAGTGGAGGCTCCACATAAAACTCTCCAAAATAAGATGAAGATATAGTGTAATTCTCATGAACAAAAAAATAAAATTAGAAGCCATTTTTGAGGTCGCGTCGCGTCCACGCGCCATATCAACGCGCATGCCGCACGTGTTCTTAACCCTAACTTCCTAGGCATTTCTGCTAGGATGGTACCAAAATCCTGCAACGCCTCCATGTAAAAATTGCATATAGCCTCAATCCTGCAAAAAACTCCGTTATTTTTTTAATTTGACCAAAGTATGATTCGAACCTCTGACCTTCAGAATATTCAAGATCTGTATTACCATTGCAAAATCCTCCGTTATTTCTTGAATTTGACCAAAGTATGATTCGAACCTCTGACCTTCAGAATGTTCAAGATTTGTATTACCATTGCAAAATCCTCCGTTATTTCTTGAATTTGACCAAAGTATGATTCGAACCACTGACCTTCAGAATATTCAAGATTTGTATTACCATTGCAAAATCCTCCGTTATTTCTTGAATTTGACCAAAGTATGATTCAAACCTCTGACCTTCAGAATGTTCAAGATTTGTATTACCATCGTCAACCTCCGCAAAGGCCTCTTAGGATAGACAGAAGGGATCTTCGTCATCCAGCAAGTAGTGGCTGGCCATCTCCAAAATGACCAAAGAGGGATTCGAACCCTGGATTCGACCTTTAGAATGTTCAAAATCTCTCTTACCATCATCGACCTCTGCAAAGGCCTCTTCGGACAAACAGAAAGGATCTTCCTCGTCCTCGTTCAGCAGCTCCAACTTGTAGCGGCTGGCCAGCTCCGAGATCTTGGCCGACGTCAGCTCTCGGTCAAAGTCTTCGTCCTCATCGTCAAAATCGTCCAAGTCGGCGATGTCCGGCTGCTGGTAGGACAGTATGGAGGCCAGACTCTGCATGTCATCGTCACTGCACAACAAAAAAACACGGGAACCAGACTGTCAATGACTATATGGGATTACCCACAACAAGACAACAAGTAGAAGGACTGCTATGTACATCAGATTCGAACCAGCCAACCGATCCCGTTAGCTCAGTGGTCGAGTGGTAAGACATCTGCACTAGAAAGCAGGAGGTCGTGGGTTCGAGTCCCACCCGAGTGATTTTTTCCAACTTTCACTCGGGAGGTAACACACTGAGTTTACAATGTTTAAACATCAGTGAAGGGCAAAACCTAGTTTGAAGTAGGACTTAAGAACTAAGTACAAACAGTTCACTTTGTGTTTCCCCATCATTGACATAATTTCAAGTACTGATATTTTTTCTTCATAATCTTGCTCGGGTGAGACTGGAACCCATGACCTCTTGCTTGATAGCGCACCTTGCGATGTCCTGACACTTCACCACAGGGCTTGCCAGGGATGGCTGGTTTCAGTTTCAAATAGACCTTTATCATGCTGCAGCCATTTCAGTCATGTTCCCTGTATCTAATAACAGTACTGAATGGTAATTTTTGTTGTGCAAAAAGGAACCAGACTTTCTTTCCTTCCAGCCTCGCTTTGGTTACGTTGAATTGAATGGGAAAAAATCAAGATGGCCGCAACATGATAATGGTCTATAGTAGCAGATACCAGACTTCAATGACTTTTGATGGAATTTTTTAGAGCCCTCAAAGAAATACAATTTTGGGGGATTTTGTATACATTGCAAATCTTGAATGCAATATGGTCATTTCTAAGATTTTTTTTATATTAACCAAAGTTGAACAGCACAAAGAATCAAAACTTTGATACATTTACAAGTAACAAGTTACATCACGATGATCTTATGAAGTGTTTTCAAGGAAACACAATTGGCATCCTTCATTTTCACAACTTCAAACTCGAAAGTTTAAAAGCCTTTTCTCAGCGTTTTACTATTTTTACAAGTCAATAAATGCAAACTTTAAACAGCCCTAACTTGTCAATGGAGTTTCTGATTGAAAAACAGAATCGTAAGGAGAATTTTATTCTCTTTCCTAATACATGTGCCCGCAATACCTCATTTCCACCTCTGCCCAGTTCTGTCTCATTTTGCCAAAACGCCTCACATAACTTATCTCCCATCCCCCCCCCCCTGTGCGAGATAACCACTTAGGAGGAGTTTGCGCAGTAACAACCAGAAGCAGAACCCCCAAAACCTGTTAATCTGTTCATTAGCAGACAACACACATGCACATGTACAGTGTATATAGTATTTGCTGTCATTCTTATGTACTGCTGCATTGAAAGTGTGTAGGATAGTGCCGTTTATTAAAAGCAACAGGCTTGTACCCAGAATAAACAGAACTTAAACATTTCCTTGCTAAATGAAGACTCCTTAAAGATTGAGTTCCTGGTAGCCTTGAGAGTACAGCGTCCATTCACACAATGCACGGCCTTCCCCGGTCCCCACGCACCCCTATTGTGCATATAGTTACAACGCTGAACAGCAGGCTCCCCATGTTAAACAGACATACTCATGTTCCATCAAAATTTTTTTTCTTCTTCTTTTTTCTTTTCTTTTTGTGGCCAAGAGTTCTAAGCTGATAAGTACCGCCAAGGTTATATGAAACTCTCGGCCGTTACAGATTACTGTGGAATTTTTAAGAACGGTGCTGCAAGGTTTTTTTTTTTTACAGCGTGTCTCAGATGCACTTTTGGCGGTCAGATACAATGTGCTTTGTGTGTGAGAGGGTGCCTTCGAAGGCTGTCCAAAATTGCTACAATGGACGTCAATTGACAGCACCACTTGATTGGTGGATTATGACTACTTTTAGACCCCTGATTACGATTCACGCCAATTTTTTCTTTCATCAACTCCTTTTTCCTTGTTTTGAAAAAACGACGGAGAAATTATTATTATTAAATTTAGAATTGCTGCAAAAGGGCGACAGAGTTCTTAAATGTCGTCTCGATTAGGGCGACACAACACACCCTATTGGGGCGACAATTTGGTGTCGCCCTATTGTTGAAACGACCCTTCGGACAAGAAATTTTACTGTTGCGACCCATCCAGATCGATTCCTCGTCGTCCAATTAACCTAAATACCGAATTTCGTGAAAAAAGGATTAGGCAAACTGGGGTTAGGCGACAGTTTAGGTTTGCGCACAAGTCTATGGGAAAGTGGCCCTATTATAGCATTAGTAAATATCATTATTATTAATATTTATTCGGCAAAGATTTCATACAACAAAAAATAATAAAGAGAATATGACAATGAAACTTTACAGAACAAAACTAGTGGAACAGGTACAAAATCAATGAAACAGTGACAGGCTAAGAATGAGGAAACTACAGAAATGTCTCAGTTTTTTTTTAAGTTTCTGGCGATCAGGGCAACTAATGTCCACCATCCCGACACCTTAGAAATAAGTTCAAAAGATCGACATTGAGTCTGATTGGAGCTGGGTGAAAGATCTTTTAATGTTATCACTTAACAGTTGGATTTTTTTCTTACTTTTGCCAAAATTGGCTTCCTTTCGCAATCACTGTGCTTAAAATTCCAAAGTTTGTGCAGATTTTGAATTTCATAGTTTGTGCAAGTGGAATTTGTGACATCGTGGCAACTATTCGTGCGATTAACTCTGGCATATTTGGCTGCATGAATGATTCCTGATGTGGGTCATTCGATAAAGTTGGGGTCAACTTTTTTCTGTGTGTGTGTCCCTGTTACATCTGATGTAACATTATGTTAATTCAGGACACATTCTTTAATGCCTTCTATCTAAAGATTATGATTTATTATGACTGTGATTATGTAAAGCAAAGTATTAGCCAAACAAATAAAAAAAATATTCAAGTAAACCACAAAGGGAATCTTCGAATAAGGGTAACTGACTAGATTTGTTTAAACATTTTTCAATTTTTCAAAAAGTTGAAAAAAAAAAAAATTGCCTGGAGCAGGGTTTGAACCTGCGACCTCCGGATTACCGTTCCGGTGCTCTACCAACTGAACTATCCAGCCCTATGTATGTTGGCAATTCACCAATTTGTCACTGTCTTTGTTCAATGGGCGCTATTCAGAAGCCATAAACCCCATTTGAAGTCAATTTTAATGGTACCGGTACTTTGTGTGACAAATTTAACAAATCAGGTGCAACAGGGACACAAAAATGTCACACTTTTGGACCCAACATTTATGGACTTAACCATTAACAAACCGGCTTCTCATTCATATTAAAGTTGCATTCCCCGCGCTCTTCAACAAATTTTTTTGCCTTTTTTAGGAAGTCTGTAAACCTCCTTGTCCGTACATTATCGATACTGATTGTGGGGAGGGAACCAGCCTAACCCACAAGAACGGGCATTATTGTCTGGCAGCCAATAATTCGAAATTGTAAAGTAATAATTCAAATAACTAAACATGGGCTGATTTTTTTTTCGGTCGACGTCGCATTAAAAAGTGAGTAACGTTTGTATTGGCGAGAAAAAGAACAATTTAGAAAAGGAATCTATTTTCGGGATGAAACTCGAAAAGAACATGGAAAATACATCTAAGTACGAATCTGCCTGATGTCCTTGTGTGCAGACTTGATTGTTTTGAAGCGTAGTGAATAAATAAAAAAAAAAACCAATGTACTGAAACTGACGTCACTGTGGACTTACGTTGCCGATCCCTCCCGTAGCAACATGCAGGAGATGGTGAGTGTCATGGTGGCCGAGATGCACTTCTTGCTGATGGGCCGCAGCGTGAACTTCCTCTGCGCCTGGGCCGGAACCAGACTGGCAAAATCCTTCATGTTGATGGTGAACTGGCAGAGAGCACGGCGCTTGCCTTTCTTAGCTTCCTAGGGGGATAAAAAGAAAAAAAACAGGAAGTGAAAAAAAATGAAGAGGAGTGCAAGATGTTCTTGTGACGTAAAGTTAAAGTACTTTCTCTCTTAACTCCAAGGTATTTTTTACATGAAACCTTCTAAATCTTTCAAATCCTCCACTGTGGGCAAGTAAGTGGCATGTTATTTGTTGCTGAAGTTTCAAGGGGCATTGCTACTGATGTACAGGAAGGAATAGTACATGGGGGACTGTGGCCAAGTGCTTTTGTTCGTGACTCGTGATCGCAGGGTCAGGGATTCGAATTCAGCCGCTGGTCATATGTTGTGTCCTTGGGCAAGCCACTTCACCCCAACCTACCCCTTTCCACCCAGGAGTACAAATGGGTACCGGCATTAGCTGGGGAGTAAGCTGCGATGGACCGGTATCCCATCTGGGGATGGGGGGGGGGGAATACAAATATTCTGAGTCATTTCGTGCCAGTGAAATGGAGATGCAATGCTGGCCTGATGGGCCATAATGACTCGGACAGACTTTACTTTCCTTTTTCGATGCTACCACTGATTTCCCCCTCATATAAAATTGATGGCTTATTCAGTTTAATAACGAAACTTTTTCTCAACACTTACATCCTCTATGATAAACGTCCATTCCTTGTCTTCAAAAGGTGCGTCAGGTCTGTTTTCCTGTGGAATACCACGAAAAACAAAACGACAAATCATTATTGCTATAGGGGCAACTGAGACAAGTTTCTTAAAGAATGGCACTCGTCGATGACACAAATTAACAAGTGGTACTGGATAGTGCATGGATGTCTGTGAGCCATGCTTGAGAGTAGAGTGTCGCTATAACAAACACAATGGAGTCCAAAACAGTAAAGCATTCATTCATAAATACCTGAGACATTTTACACATTGGTCAAGCACCCTTCACGCGGGTGGTTTTAAACCACTATTTCAATACCAGTCAGGCCCGTTCTAGACGCCCTGTTATTGCCGTGCTGAACTCAATTAATTTGACATTTTCAAATTTGGCACAGCGATAGTACGGTGTTTAGGATCATTGGATTCGTCGCATGCTCACAATACTCTCTCTCGCGTTCGCATCACTGGGAGTGAAATTGGCGTTAATATTTAGATTGTGCTGGAGGTTCATTTAACTGCTTGAATTGCTTTAACCTGGCCCATTACTCCAGATGCACTAAGGTTCAACTATTACGTTCGGCGTTAAGAGCAACTGCCATGCTGTAGATGAGCTATTGCCGCACTTTAAAAAAAATTAAGTTAGGCGCGGCAGTAGCACGGCGTCTAGAATAAGCCTCAGCGATGTTTAAAGTGGGTCGGGAGATGCTGTACTCTGCCCCGCATGCGCGCATTACGTGTTGCGCGCACCTACGGTAGTATTACAACAGGGTGCTTCAGGACCACTGATACAATCTCCAATGAGATGTTAAGCAAAGGACCATAGAATTGGCCTGAACAACAAAACATTGTCGAATTTTGTCAACATTTTCAACTTAAAAAAACTTTTTGGACCAAAAAGGTATTTATGAAAGGGAACACTAGTTTGGAGGAGCAGTTTAAAATGTCTGCTTTACACTAGTTAGTTTGTACATAAAATTCAGGAGTCAATAGAGATGACCCACAAGAAAATGTTCAGTAGTGCGGTGTTTGTTATAGCAGCATTTTACCGCATCTATAATTTGTCACTTCTTTTTATCTGATTATCTTTGGCATGCATTTTACCACAATATAAAAAACTGTGACATGGGACAGTTTTTTTTTACCTTGGAGAAACAGGAATATGGGGTGCTGTGTCCAACTTCATATCAGTCAGCAATCGGAAAAAAATAAAATAATAAACCTACCTTGAATAGGGTGCACGTCATCTCAACGTTTTCAGGCACCGTCCATACTATGGTGCCTCGGTAGGGATCTTTGATACCGGGCACCCATTGGTGTAGCTGCAAGAATATACACAAGATTCTCAATTATTATTGATGTACCCTAACGTGGCCCTGAAACTGACACAGGTTTTGCGTGGGGGTCAAGTGTTCATGCTTGCAGACCTAACAAATATGTTCGTACGTGACGGGACATGCATTCGAAATGCGCACGCAGTACGCTCTGAATAGCCAGTCAGCATTGTTTACGTGTACATCACGGCCAGGGGTTAGTGAAGGAACGCACACGCGCCCATGGAGTCGAGGCTGCTTTCAACCCTTTCATTTTCACATACTTTTCACAAAACAGTTGGGTATCAGACTGCACGAGGCATGAAATGTTAACCAGGATACTGCAGGTACAAGACTACAATGGTTACTGAAAGCAGGTAACATTGAAAGTCTTTAAAATAAACCACAAAAGGGAAACTGACAAGGTGCATGGTAATACTTTTTTTTCAAAGTTGAACAAAGTAATTGACTGGAGCAGGGTTTGAACCTGCGACCTCCGGAATGGTAATCCGGAGGTCACAGGTTGAAACCCTGCTTCAGTCAATTTCTCTGTTCAACTAAGAAAAATTAAAATGAAAAGTGTCAATATTATTATAGGTTTTTCCGGCCAATTTCCTGAAATGTTCATTCACTTCTAAAAATCGGTCATTCATTTTCGTCTGAATTTGAGAATCGCTCTGAACACGCGTTTCATTTTTGCTACCAGAGCATTCGGTTCCATTTCAGTTCAATCAATTATGTGATTGCCCAGCACCTTTTGTTTATGCCCATTCAGATTCGTTTACAAGACTTCCTTTTCGCTTTTATAGGACGATTTTAAACATTGGTCATTCTATTTAACTTTTAGTTTAATGTTATGTAATGCAATCTGCTATTTTAAATGAGTATAAGGTCCTCTTGATTGCACATTCACGAAATTGTATGCCAGAACTCTCCGCGAAAAGGTATGCTTGCGTAAATGAATGCACAGGTAACGTAATTGGCCGTCTGTTTCTCAAAACCGAATGCACGGACAATGAAAATGATTGAACCTTCGTTGAATTGAAATGGGATTAAAGACGTGCATTCAAATTCAGACGAAACTGAATGAACGATTTTCAGAAGTGAATGAACATTTTAGGAAATTGGCCGGGAAAACCTATATTAGAGTTAATACTGGGATGGGTCTCTGTTTTACCTCAGTTGATTTTTTTCTTCCTCTTCTTGTCCAATGTATACACAGTTTATCTGGCTGCCTACGAAAAGAAAGAAATGCAAACCAATGTAAAAAGAATCAGATTTGTCCGTACCGGGTTGCAGTTTCTTGGAGATGCTAAGCAGACATCCCCCCTCCCTTTTTTGGTTAGCTAAGTAATGTTGATGCTAAGCTAAAATGGATTGAGGACCAGTCATAACCAATACACTTTGCATGGCAGTTGACTGGTAACCTTTTTGCTCGTACCAGACTCTTGTCGCTGACTGACTGACTGACTGACTGACTGTCGTTTGAGAGCTGGGCAGTGCTATCATACAGGATTACCTCCTAACGTCACTGAATGGACTAAATCCAGCAGCCAAGATACATGAAAAAACTTCCAGTGAGTTGGCAATCGGAATCGATTTAATAGAACTTTGTGCATTCTGGGATCAGTTTTCCTAGCTAGTCTTGCCTTGCCTTTAATATTTTGCTAATTGATGAAATTGGTCATTTTGTTTAGTCCAACCCAATGTTTTTTCTCTTCCACTGACAACTCTAAAACCGCTAAATTCCCTAAATGTGCCACACAATGCACAAGGGAGGTGATCGCATGATCATAACATGGTGGGTATAGGACACAGGGTTTGGGGTCCAAAAACACACAATGTAAAAGCGTAGGCACGCCGGCTCTATGGTCAAAACAGTTCTAAATGCACCAAAAAAGTTTAACACCAGGCTATGGGTATTTGGCTCAGGGTACAAAGAAGCAAAAATCTTTGGTCACTTGAATATACAAGACACACATGCCAATAACTAGAAATTCCTGGACAAAAAAGGACATATACATGTAGTTTGGATCTAAACAATGTAAAAGTTCACAAAAGGCTACTTAATTTTGGATGATACATAAATTTGAATTAAACGTTCTTTTCTTTTACACATGTATATATGTAAATGATTTCAAGTTCACCAACAAGTCAGAAATTAATAACTGTCAAATATAAATTAAAACAAATTAAAATTTTGATTTTGCTTGTTAATTTGAGGGATGAACTAAGTCTCAAAAACTTTGCACTTACATGTACTAAGTTTTTATGCTTAAATTTTAAACTTACATAAATAATGCGTCTTTATAGAAAATACCCTGTACACATTTAATGGCATAAAGGATTATGTTGTCCATTTCCAATAAGAACACAACCCCAATCCAAAGAAGAATATTACAAACTTCACCAGTTGAAGTTTGGATATTACACTTTTTGAGAAAGCGAGGAAAACCATGCGCAACCTGTATAATTCGTATATAACTTTATTCCCCGAAAATCAGTCAATTGACTGATCATTGGAAATCACCTACATTTCTTGATTTCTTCTAAATGACAACAAGCCAGATGGAATCATTTCACTGGGTATTTAGTACCATTATTATGATTTTTAATCCTAGTAAGCTTTTTGATAATAATTTGGTAGGTTACTTTTGGAAGAAATAAATGTACAAATGATCCTATGCACCTTAAAGGGCCCCTTGCAATATAATTGTTTTATAATGCAATCCTTAAAAATGCACCTTTGTTTCTCATTTACTTTTATTTTCAATTTCTTTTTGCCATTTTAAGGGTATTTTGGTGTCTTGTTGGTTTTTACGCTAATGCAAATTACCATATTCATGAGCAAAACTGTGATGTCATTCCCGGCAGAAAACTCAATATTGCAGCTATTTCACCTCAAGAAGTTGCTAGAATTGTGGCTATTTTGCGGTCGTAAATTTTCTTTTCTTTGGTGATTCGTCGTTGTGTCGGTACATGGCAGTAACCCAATGAGCAAACTTTTCTCACAGATGTTTTCAAATGAGCAAATTTGGGTTCACAATTTGAACAGAAAACCCCTAAACTGAACAGTGTGTTCCTGGAATGACATCACATCAACAGCACCCTCAGTTGTCCGGAAAAGCATGGAACATTTTTTAACTGTTTAAAGAAGTGCACCTTTCACTAAAATTAACCAAAAAGGGATGTCAAATAGTTTTCATACATTTAAGAGGAGTGGAAAGTTGCCCAAAATGTGTTCCTAAAGAAAAATCAATCACATGAATCCTTTTAATTTGGATTAAATTTAGCAGCAACATTCACTGCCCAGGGACATATCATGAAGAGGTTCACCAAAAATTTGTTTCCAGGACGGGAATCTATTCAAAGGACTAGAGAACAGTCCAAAGAACCCATTGAATCCATGTAAGAAGACTGTGTCCCTATTCAGAAACCCGGCCAGCAACAGAACGTCCACTTTGTAAGTCCTTTTCTGTTCACTTCTTTTCTTGGCTCTTTCTTTCTTTTTCGGGTGCCGGCCCTGAGGGGTAACCGACCCTCCAGTGAAGCCCAGAGAGCCGTTACACTCCTCAAATCACCGCGGGCCCGGGCCCACTTGTGAGCGGTCTGTCTTCATTAGCTTTTCGGTGAAACACAGCGACGGTTTCATTGGGAGTCGGCAGTGCATGCAAATGATGCCTCCGGCAAAGCCAGGACAGGGGCAAGGGTGTGTATGGACACGGTAGCTGATAGTTCACACAGAGAGAGCACCGCTATTGTCGTAACTCGCATTTGTGGCTTTGCCTTGCAACACAGAGCAACTTTTAGGGAAAGAAACTTCTCTCTCTTTCTATTCCACCCCCCCCTGCCTCCATTCCCTTCTTTCAAACCAGCCCCTCTGTTACCCCCGCATAAGTAAACACAGGTGTTCAGCCTCGCCATCCATATGTAAATAACTGCAGTGTGGGGCAGAAAGAATAGGCCCCCGAGAACAAGAGCGTGACAAGCACGGCTACACCTTGCCTGGCCCCCTTGTGTTAAGTTGGGCACCTCTGAATAGCGACTTTCCCCCTACCCTGTTGGCGTTATAAACATAGCGGACTGAATGGCCGGCAACTTGGCAAGCTCCGAAGGCATTACATGCCTTTCACTGTGCCTGAGCCTTCAGCATCACTCCAAGTTTGTATTGTGTGTTTATTACTTACATACAAAGCTCCAAAACAGTATTCAACTTTTTTTTTTTTTCCCCTCTTGCTTTTTTGAAAAGGAGCCGCAGTACCACAAACCTAGATTCTCAGATTACCCACAGACCACTATGGCCCAGATTCCCACAAAGAAGGGCGGCACGACTTGAATAAGTGCAACACGATACATGTATCCAGCTAGCTGACATTGCTAAAGAAGGGAACTTGTTTGAACGGCAAATATTTGGCGGAACTCGGTCGGTAGAGGTTTCTTGCTTTTTATTAAGGAGAGAGAAGGAAAAAAGAAACTTGGACGACAATACTCATTTGAAATACCGCCACAGCTGACCCAATACTCGCAGGAAATTCAAGACTGCCTTTAAAGTTTTCAGGAGTTCTAGACAATGTTTACAAGTTGGTGCACTTTGGGCCAGACTTTTTGATTTAAAACCAACAGTTCAAAAGTTGAAATGTGAATGGCACGAAATGGGTAGTGTCCATGGGGTTGTCCAGAACTTTTGTAGGGGAAATTAAATTATTTTAAATTGATTTTTAAATTGCTCTTCTCTTAGAATTACAACAGTTAAAGGCACCTTAAAACCCTAACTCCCTAGGCCTTTTTGCTAGGATGTAGCCTCAATCCTGCAAAATCCTCCAATTGGCCTCATGGAAAAATAGCATATATAGCCTCAATCCTGCAAATTCCTCCGTTGTTTCTTGAATATGGTCCATGGAGGGGTGACCACTGCCTGAATCCTGCAAAATCCTCCGGCTATGACTGTCAATAGGCTGAGGCAGAGGCAGTGACATCCTGGAGCAGTGCGGAGGATGTCAAGTATAATCAAGGACTAAATTTATGCACGGCTGAGCATAAACAACACAAGGTCCGGCCCAAGACCTTGACACAGTGCGTACTCCGAAATCAGCAACGCACTTTGGCCATGTAACCTCAATCCTGCAAATTCCTCCAATTTGCAAAAAGGATTTTGGAGGATTCAGGGCGGTTAGGGTTAAGTAATATAGGAAGCTGCAATACAACCCTTTTAGCACAGCCAGATTGAAACTGTTGATTTTTGCCGAGGAAGGCAAACCGGGGAACCTGGAGAAAAACCCTTGTGGCACAGGAGATATTCAACGAACAACTCTATGGGGCGCTGTGGTCCAATGGTTACGGTGTTCGACTCGTGTGCCGTGGTGCATGGGCTCGAATCCTGACCGTGGGAACATGGTGCTTGTGCTCTTGAGCAAGGCACTTTACCATTATTGCTTCGTCCTTTGGATGGGACGTAAAGCCATAGGTCCCGTGTGTTGTGTAATGCACGTTAAAGAACCCAGTAACGCTTATCGCTAAGAGAAGGGGTTTGCCCCGTTGTTTCTGGCAGTGGCTGCAATATGCGCCGCAGTACCTTGTAAACCATTATAAGGTGCTACATAATGGGTCTCATATTTCTCATAAACTTTATTTACCTTTCTTTAATAATTGACATAATTTCCAGCGCCTTGAGTACCTAATTGTTGGTAGATACGTGCGCTATATAAGACTCTGTTATTATTATTATTATTATTATTATTATTACTCACATATGACCTGAGACGGGCATCGAACCCGGGCCACAGCAGTGAGAGGCAAGCACTTTACACACTGCATCAACCATAATTCTTATCTGAATGGGAGCCCAGGGTCAAAGCTACCTGTCTAATACACGGTACATGACATTTATTAAAAGTCCTGATCTGTTACACTATGGTTAGCCACAAGACAGTTACAATAATCCTACAAGGGCAAAAATTCAGTTTCCATGTTTTGTGGTGTTTGTTTAATCTTTCTGTGATACTGTCTTTGAAGATTTACAGGGTTTACAGGAACCGGGGGGGGGGGGGGGGGAACCAAAAGTGGACTTAGGGGTGTTTTATCCCACCTGTATGCGTCATCATCTTTTGTAGCATGACAGAAACTTGTCAGTCACAGGTACTTGTAAGGTTCCGCATGTGCAATGTGTATGTAAAATTCAGTAAGTTCAGTTCAACAGAATGCAATTTGGAAGTTAGAACTCTGACCATGAGCAAAC